AATAGACGTCGAAATTTGTCAGTGCCTAGTGCCTACCTATATGGCCAAACGAAGCGAAGAAAACGATTATTCAACATTTTACCAATTACCCATCATCTATACGCTTATCTCCGTTTTCACAATATTTTGCTCTACGTTATAATATTAAAACCCAGGTTTTCTTTTTACTATTCATTAACCTATAATACCTGCCCAACTATTGGTAACTATTTATTTAAAACACGAAATTTCAAATTAACCGAATAATAACGTCAGCGAATCCGACCATTAATGCGGAAAACATATTTCCGGGAAAGAATTCTTTCGTGTGGTCAGCAAATATAAATAAAATTGTGTAGGTATGTATGGTACTTCTATAAAGCAATACAATTACTACGAAAATTATGATAAAACAAAATTGGCAATATTGCACACATTAAGAATAAAAAAAATGGGTAGTCTACTGGTCTAGTATATAGTACCTAGGTTTCGAATGTAGGCACCAATGTTAAATGTACCAGAATATGATCATTGACTATTGAGCAAAATGTGTTCTGTTTTCAGAATTTATTGAAACATACATAAATTGATGAATACGTACATACATATACATATATTTATATTAGAATAAGTGTGCTAGTGCGGTATAATTATTAACTGATTTTTGTTAAAAAATCACATATTATATTATATTACATTTGCCCATTTAGGTAATAATATTATATTATGTATAGGTACTATATTTATTATAATCATATTAGGTAATTATTATATTATCATAATATATTATTGTTATTTCGTTATTAACTTATAAGTCAAATGTCAAATGTCAATAGTTAATAGTTAATACAGATGTACCTACCTACCGTAGAAAGGTGTGAAATAAGTAGCTTGAAATAATTAGTGAATAATAATAATAACTAATTTTGGACATTTAATTATGTATAGAAAATAGTAATATACATAGATAATGGCGAGTAGTTCCTACAATTAATATTTTTTTAATTCTAACAATACAACTAAAATCAATAAAGGAAAAATGGTTAATTTTATTCATAAATTTCATTAATAAATAAATTTATAATTATAATTAATTTCCGATTAATTAATAACCGATTTCATCAAAATTTTAACTTAAAATGTGCGTACCTATATAAAGTACAATAAATTGTACATACTACTATAGTTATAGTAAGTATTTTCAATATTTTTAAATTTCTATACGAACACGCAATACATTTTTAGGAAAAATAACTTAAATTTTTATATATTTTACTTAAAAACAAAAAAGGGGGAAAGTAGGTAACAGCTAGACTGTACAGTATAGATGTAACTCGTCATAGACAGAGCCACTGTAATATACATAATATTTGTTAAATTTGAATTCAATGATAAATCATTACATACGAAAAACGATTCTGTCAACCTATATTACTGAGTATATTTATTTATATTGTAACCTATATTATAGTAATTTATTTTAAAATTATCAATAAGGTGTGAATAGGTTCGTGATGTAAATAGGCAATAATGCCAATAATAGATGCTAAATATTAGTCTAAATATTTTTAAACGTCACTGTATATATTAAATAAAAAATATAGGTACCTACGTAAAATGTTGAGGTCCTCATGAATAATAATTTTGAATTAGAACAAAATATCTAAAAACATTATTCTTTTTAAAAATGTCTATGAAAACTGTGCTTATATATTTTTAGTTTCAGTTAGAAGTACTTATGAGAAACGTCGTATCAAATCTTATGCTTTAACAATCATGATTCAACATTTTATACGGTTTTAACAACAAATAATAACTATGCAAATTTTTGATCAAATGGTTTCGAACTTTGAACTTTTATAAGATATAGCAGTGCCAATGTATCTATTTAAAATATTTTTCAGTTTCTTAAAAAAGGAATCTTGTATTAAATTATCAAGGTTTATGGCCAAGCCTAACCATTTTTATCAAAACAGAAAAAACAAACTACTTACTATATCTCGTTCAAACCAATTTTCGGTAGAAGTTTTCATGGTAATGTACATCATATATTTTTTTTAGTTTTATCATTCTCCTATTTTAGAAGGTATAGGGGGGGGGACACACATTTTACCACTTTAGAAGTGTCTCTCGGGCAAACTATTCAGTTTAAAAAAAAATTATATTAGAAATCTCAATATCATTTTTGAAGACAGAGCTTAATAGAAGTACAACCAAATCAAATCTTTTCACTTTCCTCAAGGAAGTAGGTATATGAAATAATAAAAAACTAACTATCTACCAAAGCTCCGGGATGCTATAACATTCCAAATGCTTCTCAAACATCTATACCTACCTGCCCCTACTATTGTTAGGTTAAATAATATACACCAACTAGAAACACTTTCCCATCGAACAAGATACTGTTGAAGAGAATCAAAGCAATTTTACTGCCACCAAACTGTGATGACAGACACAAAAGTAAAAAAAAAATTTAAAATTTAAAAAAAAAATACACATTGTAAAATCAATACATTCATCGTTCCACTCGGCACTCAAAATCTAAAAATTACCTCTTTAAAGTACCAACTTGGTTGAATTTGCTAAAAGATAAGGTACTATAATATGTTGAAATCGAAGAGTTCCTTCAAGTAGAAATGTTGTAAACATTACCATATCCACTGTAAAACCACTAACTTCCTCGCTATGCTCAGAATCTAAAAAAGGTGGGAAAGTGGGTATACAGCACTGCAGCTGTAAAGTAGGTAAGTGTCAGAGGGGTAATGGATGTGTTAAATTTGAATTCAATGATAATAAAACCATTGTACCTATAGGAAAGCGATTCAAGCGAAGACGGTCTGTCAGCGGGTCAGCCTATAATAATAAATTGTACCTACTAAATATATATTTGTATTATATTATTATTGTTAATAAGTAATTTATTTTACTTTTAGACATATTATTATATTATATAGTAGTACCTATAGTATTTAACTACTTAAAAGGATACCTTTTTTTTTTTTTTTGGAATGTGGATAAACAATAAAATTGTTAAAAAAAATATATTTAATATCATTAACTATAAAAAAAATTTCAGAACTAGTGAACGCGCATCTTAACCAATATTAACACCCAAACGTTTCTTTAAACTTTATATTTCGGTGTTTGTACACCAAAACACATACAGCACCCAAAATCGAAACCCGATTAATTGATTCGGGTGCAGAGCCCTGCATTATGGTGACCTACTTAACGATAAGATTCACCAGACTCCTACGATATAGTAAAGCGGATTACTACCTGACCACTTTTTTAATAGCTGGTGTCATATTAAAACAACATTTCGTTATTGAGTATAGATCTGGGCCATGCTGAAGAAGGTGGCAAATGGGGCAAGTGAGAGCCACATATTTTATGGTACCAATACATAGCGAGCTATTTATGAGATTAATATATGTACGTTGAATGCCCCTATTTGGCGCCCTTGCCAATGCTAGTTTGCACAATACTGGTATAGATAGTATAATATTTAAACCTAATGGTAATATGTATTTAAATGTTAAAACCATTAATTACAATCAAAGCTTAAAATTATTTATCTTAATCTGAGCACTGAGCCATTAATTTGTTACTCACTAATACTTAGTCAATATAATTTATTCTCTATTCAGGATGTATTGATAATTATTTACTGTATTTATGTTTAAACAAACTTATCAAACGTAAAATACTTATATTTGGAAAGGTTTCCAAATTCTTAGACTCTATGTACACACAATCTATATGTACTTATTATTCCTCATTATAGGACAAATAGTGGAACATTTTCTTTCTTCCCAGAGGTCTTCGTTTAGCCAATATAATCTCCTATTCACTTGATTTTTTTAATACAGTTCATGACAATTTAATATTGAAAAAATTTAACTTTATTGTTTCAAAAAAATCTTATTCAGTTTCTCTTGTCATTAAATTCTATATTTTAGTCTTATACATTTAATTGTTAATTATTTTTGAAACTTTGTTTTATTATTAATTATAATTCTTATATATGGTATTGTTGGTTGTTGTTTTTTTCTTAAATTATTATATTTAGTAAAGAGCTATGCTCGTTGATGACACACTAAATAAAAATTATGGAGTATTCCAGTCCAACCCATTTATAAAACTTGCACTACTTGGAATTTTATAATTTTAAATTAAAGAATGTATAAACCAAGTCAATAAATTCTTTGTTATACATCATAATATAAATAGTTTTATCTAAGTTATAACTGATTGCTGTAATTTTAGAAAAATTTTTAGCATTAATTAGTTTTTTTGATACATAAGTTAATATATAAAAATTTTTAAATAATTTATGTGAATTATTATAATTATTATTTATATTATGCATATAATGAATTTAAGATTTAATGCAAGTATTTTATTTTGTTTACATAGCATTACGACAGTTATTAAGTCAAAATAAAAAAGTATTGTTATTAAGTTAATATTTCTTTAACACGTTGACTGCGTATGTCTTTTTGCAGTTTTCCCCCAGTGCGTATGATAAAAGTAAAAACAAAAGAAATTAAAAAAAAAATATAAAGAAACTGCTCATAACGATGTATGTATACATATTTAAAAACATGCGTTTAATCCACGCTAAATAATAATAAAATAACATTCAGCCACGCGTAGGGAATTTTAAACCATTTATTTTAAATGTATATTAAACGCCATATGGCGTCAAACGCGTTGCTGAATGATACTTATGACGCCAATTGGCGTCAGTACGCAGTGAACGTGTTAATGTCTGTGATCATTTTCTTAATTTACCTACAAAACTTGTTGACCATTTATAAGTTATAAAACTGAATACACAAATAATCATATAATTCAAAGCATTTAATTTAAAATCTACAATTTTTTTTTTTATACATATAATTAATAATATCAATATCTGTTCATGTACATGTTTATTTTAGTAGTAGGCAATTAATGTGAATGGCACACATCATATTATTATCGTTTATAATTAGTATGATGTAAAAATAATTATGTTATGGATTGAGTTGCTCTGTAGAAGCATCAGATTTCCTTCGAGACAAATTCCGTTGAAGAGAGATCGGAGTTAACCACTCCTTTGGTAGACAACGTTGAAAAAAAGGAATGCACGAGCTAACATATGCCAGCCTGTTTATCCAACTTGGTATATCTTGTCCGCATAAAATCTAAAGTAAAAAGTTTATAAACAATATGTTTTTATTATTAAATAAAATAGTATTTACCTTTGTTAATGATCCAGAAAAATGGTTACAATTTTTATTCATTAAATGGTATCTATCGCCTCGGAAGTCCTTACCAAGTTCAATCATTATTCTTTTAACATCACTTACTGTGAAATCTGTACTACCAATGTATATGGATTCCCTAAAAACAAAACAAATATAAATATTCATGGGTTGAAAATAAGAAAAACGTATAACAACATCCACAATAAATAAACAGTATTATTAAAATTTGTATAAAGACACTCTTATCTTAACCAAACAAATGTCATTAAAATATTTTTAAGATAATATTTAAATATTTATTGTTAATAAATACTTTCATAAATTGTTAGGAAAAACTAACTAATTTATAATCTCAGATATAATCTAATATCATTAAAACTTTTTCATTATTATTATTTTTAAAATAATACATTTAATTCTATAAAAAACAAATACAATTATTAATAAATATAGTTTTTATGATTCAACTATTTTTATGAAGCTACATGCTAGAACTGAAAAGTTAAAAATGTCATTAAATGATTAGTTTAAAAACAAAACCATATAATTAGGAACATTTAAAATCAAAGAAATTTATTGTATGATAGTAATTAGTAAAGAAGTAAAGTGTTTGATTATCCTATTTTTTTATAAATTAATTTAATGTTTTATGGTTATTTACTGAGGTTGGAAGACGTGCTCAGCCTTAAATACAGCCAGTTGCAGCCACAGACATTGTATTGGTAAACTAACAAAGCTAGTAGTCACTTGCCTGCTTTTAATATGACGTTAATGGGTACTTGCATACAAAAGAAATAAAATAAACTTATCTATTAAACAATTAACATTGGAATTTGATATTGAGCTCCTAGCAATCGTAGGAAATTGAATGATGGTACTTTGGCTCCATAAATTATTAAATTCTAAAATTGACTGTCCTGAACTACTGAGCCTCATTTCTTTTAATGTCCCTAGTGTGAATACTCGTGTTTCACACACATTTTACTGCAATACCTACTGTCAGAGTTACAGTATTTTTGCTCTGATCAATAGAATGCTGATAATAGCAAACTCATTAAATAATTTTGATTTTAGTTATGATGACTCAACCAAGTTAAAGCGTCTAGTTTAATTTAATTTGTCACATATTACACTCTATAATTTGTAAAATATTGTTAATTTAATTTAATTTATCATTATCAATTAGGTATAGTTAATAAGTCTTATTGTGTCATTGATTGTACTGTACCCGACAGGGCGTATATATTATCAATAAATTAATAAACAAACATTGTGAGGGGGGGTGAATCATCGTTTTTTCAATTCACCTGAACAATTAATATATTATAATTAAGATTACTTCAAATATTATGATTGATATACAAGTGGTTGCATAGATAAAAGAAATTAATCTTTTAATTAGAAATTACGTTTATAAAAGAAACAAAATAGGTTTGTGTAACCATTACCTAGTATCCTACTGATATGCATAATATTATACTTTCACATAATACTATATTTTTATTTAAATTAAATAGTTATACTGTCTTATTGCTTGGAATTTGAATTATTGACTAATGTGCAATTTAGTGTAATTTTCTACAAATTTTTATGCCAAAAAATAAAATTTATTTACTTTAATAAAAAATATAGAATTTCACTTTTAGAAAATGAGTTAATATTATATTACCACAACTAATTTTAATTTCTACCAATTATACAAAATAATGGTTGTAGACTTGTAATAGTAATGGTAATCAATAGTAAATAACTGTTTATTCAAATGTGTACTTAATTTTTTTTACTTTAGACGTTATTTTTATTTTTTAGTGGCGATGGGGAGGGGTGTTAAAAAAACTAATCAAGTTTTCTTAACTTATTTTTTTATTATAAGTCAAACCAAGAGGGCTCAGTTTGGTTATCCTATTTTTGGACCATAATTATTAGTCTAAATCCAACACTTTTAAACTATAAAAATAATAATTATAGTTTGGGATATTATGTTTATATAATAACTTAATATTTCTAAAAACATTATTTTTAGGTACTTTAAAAGTACTTATTACACTTAAAATAAGCTATATTATGTAAAATATCATGATCTTAAATTTTTGTGGAATGAACTTTATAAGTCTATGCATTTAGATAAACACACGAAAGTGCTAATATATCCCGATACACTTGCAACTAGCGCTGTTAGTTTGTCATTATAGAGATATATAACATTTATTTGCATCTTATTCAATAAGTTAGTAACAAATGTTAATTATTAATTACCTACTGCTAACACAGATAAATTAAAAAAAAAATTTACCTGTATCTATAATGGTCTCCTAATTCATAAACATCTTTTGGAATCATATCAAAAATTCCAGAATCTGATCTATCATGACCTCCATATCCATATTCTGTAATAAAAGTTACAAATTAAAATTTCAAACATAAGATATGATTGATAAAATATTCACCTTGTCCATACACTTCAATTCCAGAATGGAAGACACCAAGACCCATATGCGTTGTGTATTCATTGATCCAATACTTATAACAAAATAAGAAAAAATTAATAAACTACAATCACAAAATATTTGTTAATCGTATATAATAATAATAATATGTTAATTGTAAAATTTCAAAATTGTAAAAATCATTATGCTTTCTAATAATTTATGTAGGTACCTAGGTATACCTTAACAATATATTACAAGAATATTAACATTATATGAAAACACCTAGGTATATACATCAAATCTATATTAATAGATACAATTATTCAATACATTGCATCATTCAGAATTGAAACAATTAATTTAAAGCTCCCATTGTAAAATCAGTTACTTTCTTATATAGGTAGGTAAATTAATTATTTTAGAAGGATTTAATTTTATTGGAACTTAGCATGAATACTTATAATAGTGATTAATAATAAGTAGGTATATTAATTAAATTAACTTACATTTATTTAAAAAAAGGTGGTTATCATTCAGTTATGGTAAACCAATGGTCTAAATATTCATAATCTTCAAAATAAGATAATAATAAATTATAATAAATATAATTATTATTTATTTATTCAATATTTAAATTATTAGAAAGAATAAATTTATAAGTGTGATAGGTACATTTAAAGCATAAATACAAAAATGAAAAGTGATAATGGCCCAATACAAATATGGGTAATGTTGGTATTTATAAAAATACGATTAAAAGGATTATATTTTAAAATAACAATATTAACTATCCATACCTAAGGGATTAAAGTAGGTAATAACAATCATATATGTATAATATATATTCCTACAATATTTAAATCAATGGTAGATTATTGCAATAATCTATAACAATCAATAAAAGTTAAATAATTATTAGGTACCTAGTTTTGTTTATTTGGATTGCAAAATTATACTTCTTAACTACATGATATTTATGTAAAGCATACGGTAGTTGATTTATATATTTTTTTGTGTTTTAACAGATAAATTGAAAATATTTACATATAGGTACATTACTTAACTAATCACATTATAGTATTATACACACAAAATTGGCAATAGTTTGATTATAAGTTACAGTTAGAAGAATTAAATGATCATCTAATGCCGGGTTGCACAAAACATTTAATAAATCAATAGTGAGCTAATGGTTCCTTAAACAAGATTTAGCGGCCAACAATTAGTCCATTAAATTGTTTATGCAACCCAGCATAAGATATTTAGGCATGGACAGGAATCGTGTGCCGTTGGATTCATTTGTTATTAGAATATTGGGCACACACGGGTGTGGTAGTCGTTGGTGACAATACAAACACTTACCATATCATAGACGTGCACTAGTACCGGTTCTCGAGCCATGTTGGAGAATAGGCTGTCCGGTTTCCATACAGTGCGCCCAAAAGCGGATATGTTCGACTGGAAAAAAAAAGAATAGAGCATTGATGAAGACGTTTTAAAAACAGACAGGGACGAGACGAAAGACAGCATAATACACAAGCTAATTGTACTTTACGTCTCATGGGTACGATGACCGTTAACCATCACACCAGCTGTGAGGTAGTTGGTGGTAGTAGATATAATTATATTTATTACATTATTATTGAATACGTACCCAGAAAACGTAGGTAGAGTATAAAAAAAAAATTAAAACTGAGTAAACGAACGTTTTTCGTATTTATTTTCGCACTCCCGGCTCGTCGGTATCCATCGGGTCGGCGGTTAACAGCGACCGACGACGACGGCAGCCGCTGTCGCGATATTCATTATTTTATCAGAATAGTATTATCACTAAACAGTAAACACGATCGTGCTCGTACGGTCGTCCGCCGAATGCGCCGAATGCAGAATGACGGAAACCGACGGAATGAATGACTGCACGTCGGGCGGCGCAAGTGTGAGTGTGTGTGCGTGCGCCACCGCGCTGGTGAGAGTATGTGTGTGTGTGTGTGTGTGTGTGCGTGCGTGTGTGTGAGACCGCGGTTGACACCTAAATGAGGCCAACAGAATCGATTTTCCTCGCCGTCATCGATACCCGCGAGACGGACGACGACCGTTGTCGGCTCGTCGCCGCTATAAACGGAAGGAGACCTTTTTAGTATTATATATTTATATTATAATTTATAATAGTGGCATAGTGTTAACGACTTCCAATCTTAAAACAAATAATATTATACTTTATAATAATAATACGAAAATGTTACTATTATACAAGGGACTTATACATCCACCTTGTTATTATAATTCAGTATTCTAAGGTTATCACTTATCACGTGAAATTAAATCAACTGACCGCTGCAAGAGCGCAAGTGAGCTCGTTCAAAAATATGACTAATGCGAGTGATCATTTCGTATTTTTTTCGTTACTCGTTGTTACTAAGGTGATTGGAGACGGTGTTTTGATGCCAGAGGGCCTCTGCTTAGTCTATCGAAATTAGCAAGCTCCAACGTCAATATTAGCGATACTTGGCTAACTAGTCAATACTAAAATAGTTCTAAAAATTAATAATTCTAACGTGTTCATTACCTACTGATCGACATAGGTACTTACCACGAATTAATATATCTTAATTCGTGGTACTTACGCGATAACTGATAAGGATTTTAATTTGTCGTGATGCACTAATGCACTGACTGTCCCACATTTTCGATGATTATATTTTGTTTATCAAAACATCTAGACAGTGGTAAATTTTATATTTTTGTATCACTATTAAGAATTCAAATGCCGACGAGATAGGATGCTCTTCGAATGGAAAAACAGTCCAAAAATAACTCCAAAGTATGAACCCATATCCGGAGTACCTACTAATACAATTTAATCTTCGATGAAGTTTAGTCATCGCATTTTATTTATATATTATTACAAGTTTTATTATTCTTAAAGCATATTAATATATATTAAAAAAATTAATCACCCTCCCCCCAACCCTTCATACGTCTCGGAATTACTTTAGATGTATGTAATCAAAAATACGGGAACGTCTGTATTAACTTTCAAGGCTTCAAGCGGACTATACGACGAATTCAAATTTGTCTTCAGAATCCTTATCGCATCATTGAATCGGCTGTTCCGATTAGAATTAAAACCCGTCTGAATTATAATATTCCGAAATAGCACGTCATATGGCTGCAAATTGAATTTATAGACAGACAGCAATATTCACCAATCCTCTCGAATATTATTAGTACTTAGTATCATTGATTATAAAAATAATACCTAAGCTTATATTATTATTTATAATCAAATATCAATGTAAAGTAAACGTATGTAAATATTGTAGATTAGGTACTTTATAGTGTATTAGACATTAGTGTTCCTTAACTGTCTTAGTACTTTTCGTTGTTACCTACTTGTAAATAGTTATTGCTTATTAGTTATTACTTATTAGTCATTAGTAATAAGTAATAACTAATAATTTATTGTTCTATTTCATTGAAAAATGAAAATAATGATAAAGCTAGGTCGTGGACACGTCAATCAATCAATTACTAAAAAACTAAAGGAAAAAAACATGCAAATGCTTTTATTTGTATTTTTTTTTCATACGCGATGGTTATGACGTGCGTTGGACCGTTTCGAATGTTTCAATATATTATCAATACAATATATTATTACTTGACGTCGTGCCCCCGCCGGAACGTCGGTCAAAGCGAATTCACAAACAATTTAATAATAATAATTTACACACAAGGCCACAAAATATTCACAATTCACCAACATTATACGATGCAAACGTGCACAGTATAATATAATAATAAATGCGACTAGGAAATTATATTATATTTTTATACGTACTTGTTTGTGCGTTTGTTGTTATTATTTCCGGTCTATCCGTTTGTCCGACTCCGGCAGATGTTGTAGTCACTGTTTCTTCCTAAGTAGTAGCAGCTACGATGAGCACTGACTACTGAATACTGACTGATGTCGAGTGATGACTGCCCGTCTGCACAGGACGCAATCGGCCGGACGTAGTTTCTGAAATTGTATGAATGATGGAAATAAAATAGTTATTTTTATCACGGTGTTCTACTACGATTTGTTAATACTAAAATATTTATTATTATCCTTATTACTAGTGTATAGGTATAACAGCTATTGTATAAACTATAAAGTAATATAAATTGTCATTAATTTATTATTAGTGACGGACCCACACCGTGTAACTGACCATTGGAGTTCACAATATCTGAAGAGTGAAGACTCCAATTCCACTCAATCACTCAATAGCCCGTGGTTTCGAGCGATAATAATATTATTATTAATATATTACATATCAAACAATGGTTGTAAACTTGTAAGTATAAAAATAAATACCAAATTATATAATATAATGACAGTGTCAATGTCTTCTTCAAATATTTTTTAATCCTTGTCTATGCTAATGAACAAAATAAGAATATATAAAAAAAAAAAAACGGAACTCGCTCTGTTATCTACATTAGGTTTTGAGTGTACCTCGGTCCTCGGCACTTCGTCATTCAGACATTAAGTAGGTTACTGTAATGCAGTATTGAAGTGGCGCGATTACGGAAGAAGGGGGCATGCATATCCTCCCACCAATGTACTTTTTTTATAACTGGTACACACCACATTATCGTATTAATACAATAATAGTTTACCTACAACCTACTAGGTACTTTAATATTATAATTTTTAGAAATTAATTTCTAAAAAAAAAACAAATTTCTATTCTAGATATTAGGTTGATAATAAGTACCTAATATAACTACTAATAAGTCATAACCAAGGTAAATGGTAATAACTAATAATATACAATAATATCAATTCATAATTTAAGCTATTTTCGATAAAGGTAGGTGCATAGGTGCACCGTGCACCTATACCTACTGCCTAACTACCTACCTATGTGTTTTACATTTTAATGTTATAAGTTATAAGTTATAACTTACAGACAATATTATACATATGTGGCCATAATGTAGGTATATCTACTTATAATTTATATAGAATAAAGTAATATAGATTATTGTAAGCTACAAGCCTACAGTACTTAGCTAGGTAGGTACCTATTATACTACACTGCTACACTACAGATTGCGACTGTGGCAACTGACAGTTGTAGGTAATATTTAATTGTTATTCCTTCGTGCTGTCATGGTCGATAACATTGTATCATTTAATATAATGTTTACTGTTTAGTACCTATATGAGTGCTTAACTGCCCAAGTGCATTTTACACATCAGTACATCACACATGCTTGATACTTGAAATAGGATTTGAGAGATGCTTGAAAGTTGAAATACATACAAAACAATTAGGTATCATGTTAATATTATACAATTTTACCCCCCTCCCCCCACAACAAACATAATCATATTATACCACTGTTCTAATAGATATATTAAATTTGAAAAAGCAATGATAATTTATAATTTTGTAGTTTTTACTCACGATTACATAATATTTGAACTCAGTATCTAGGACAGAATGTACAATACAGCAATAATTATTTATAAAATATAAATTTTATTGAAAATAACTAAAAATAAAACTTCTGTACTGCCTTTGGGCTTTAGTCAGCAATATTATTATTAATATTAAGAGGATGCCAGCGCAATATTATTGATTACTCTGTTAAACCCAAGGGTAACATTGACAAAACCTATTTACGTAAAATAATTTTTTATGATTTTTGAGTAATTTAGAGTAATATCACTAATATACATAAATTATAGAACATCATATTTTGGGTTTGAAAAATCGGTTTTATTTTTTTTTATTATTGTATTTTGACTTAATAGTTTGTAAATTATATTCAACTTAAAAAAAATAGGGTACCACTCTGCTGTACAGTATTTGTTGAGTATATAATAATGGATGTGGTGTATCGCGTATTAGACTTCAATGATAAACCATGGCATAACCAAAAACGATTCTGAGCGAATACGTTGTATCATTCTAGCATACTTGTTGAATAATCAAATTTAATAATTTAAAAAAATTAATAAAAAACGATAATATTTTTTTGTCACACCTGCACTGAAAGTTTGGTTTTCGATAGCGGTTGAAGAGTTCGAAAGCGTCCTTTTTCCGCCCAGCGGGCGGTAAATTGGGAATCCCTAAATCCTATTAAGTGCCGGGCGGTAAAGTGGAAATTCCCAAAAGTGCCGGGCGCACATTTCGTCATAGGCGAGACAAAAAATAGTATGTGTGGCTCACTTCCCGCCCTTGCCACACAATATACTACATAGTATTATGTAGTATATATACTATATATAAATGCCGTAACTTCCCGGTACTTTTGTTTTTGCTTAAGGAGAAAGGTTGTGGGGAATTTTCCATTAAAATTTCTAATGAAAAGAAAAACGTTTATGAATTTCTAACTGGAAAATAATT